AAATGGTTGCTTTGTGCTGAATGGATTTTTTATGTTCCTAAATATCACCCAATGGTTTGTAAATAGATTGTTATGTTTGTTACATTGGTTGTTTTTTTAGTTAATGAATGCATTATAAGATGTCATAGTTGTTTTGGTTAAATTATAAACATATTAAAAAATTTCTAGGTTCATATTTATAGGGGAGATTTCGCTAAAATTTTTATTGAATGTTTTATAACAACTAATTATATTCTTATATTTTAGATTATACGACAGTCTTTCACAGTGGATGTGTTGATTAGCCTACCTGATTGTTGTGTGCTAGGACGCGATCTATGGACTACACGGTCACCATTCATATGTTTTGATGTGGTGTTAAGTGGCATTTTTCTAACCGTGCTCTTCGACAATTTGGTTTGACATAGTCGATACCAACGGCATATGATTTGAGTAGGGAGCTACATGTCATAAATCGGCGTGATAAGCCTAGGTATGATTGGATTATTGTTATCAGCGTGACATCAACATGTGAGATCGATGACAGGACACTATTGTTGCAGGCAAGCCCATCATTGGACTGATAGATCCCACTAATTCATATATTAAGTGGTACCGACGTATCACTCATCTACTTATCGAACTACTTATTCCGCAGTTTGGTGTCGATTTTTAGCCCATCGGCAGTGTCATCAAACTGTTGGTATGTGTTGCTAAATTGTTAATGTTAACATGTTAGCTAAAACAATTTATATTGTAGTAATACCATAATCGTATGGTTATGCAAGAGTACACAATCATGCAAATATATCACACACTAGATGACGCGTTTAATAGCCAGCCAGACTTGAGTATTTGCTTGGTGGCAATGGGCTAAATCGAGGATTTTAGCTTCAAGTGTTTGTAGGCTATTCGTGAGCACCGTTGTCTCGTATAGGCACCTTCAGACAGTAGGCGGCCATTAGTTGCACCACCAATTTCTACACCTCAACATGGCATACGTATTCCACGACGAACGATGACGACACGAGCCCATAGACAAGCCTCCCTATCGGCCATGGATACTACTTCCACCTCATCATATGCAGTCTCGCCATCTTCATCTACTCCGCACACCACCATAGCATGTCCACCACCTAGACTACATGTCCTTGTTGCTAATCATGGCACTCCACCACTCGCTAACCCTGTCTTACAGACATCTATAATTACTTCGATTTTTTTAGCCTCCCCACACGTGCCTACATTGGCGTAATCGCACATTTCACATGAGGCGGTTGATACGGGAGATGTGACACATGTAGTCTAGGCAGATACACCATGCCCCGATGTGCCTTGTATTTCACCGACTATTCCACCGATGCTCAATTGGCCTACTTCTCCTATTTCATATGAGGACTCTTTTAGAGATTATGGGGGTCCTAGTGAGAGAGTGGCTCAGGAACCATCGGTATTGTATAGAGGGAAGGGCAGAGGGGGACCTAGAGCATAAGGTGGGTGTGGAGTTAGGGGTAGTGGGCACCATGTACATGATCTTGTAGATGGTATAGTGTTTCAAGAGATGCCTGATACTCTTCGGGGACAGTGGCCCAAGTGACATAGGAGACCACCACCATATGGGATGTAATATATTTTACATTATTTAACATTACTCCATTGTCAAATAGAAATTCAAAATTATATCCAACAAATTTATACCCATCTCAACACAATTTATTTAATTCAAACTAAAGGAGAGGAAATTGGTTATTGGTTGATATGTACCATTTATTTGTCACATTAGCCGAGTCACGTGATGTCAAGGGGGTCATGGCCCAATGAAAGTTTGTAAAGTTTTCTTTGGTCATTTACGTTTTGTATTATTTTATTTTTGAAAATTTCTAGGTTCATCCTTCTAGTTAGCTATATGGTTGAAGTATGGTTTCAGAAAAGTAATTTTGTCAAAAAATAGAAAAACAAATATGTTTGATTACTAATAAGTTAGAATCATAATTAAGATTGCAAACAAAATTATAATTCAAGAATTTAAAATTACAAAACTGATAATAATTTAAAAAAATGGGTGTTTGATCCTTAAAATTGGTTTTGTGGGCTATGACAATTGCCTTAAACGCATAGAGCCAAAAACTTATCACATACACAATTCTAAGACCAAGTAGAAAATTAGGGTCATTCATACACAGACAATTCTATTTTTCACTTTTAACGATTTGGGTCCTCAAAAAACAGATCTGCTATGCATAACACGTATCTCTCCCTCTCATGAGGAAGATACCGAAGAAGATATTGTTCCGACAATTACAACGCGTTAAGGTCAAGTTATCATTTTTTGTGGTTTAAACTAAAATTCCAAAGATCATAATCGATCACAACCCAAAAATTACAACTTTAAAAATTCAAGTCACGACTCATAAAAAAAAAGTTACAATTAATTGAAGTAATTCATGATCGATCACAATATTATTAATCGATCATATATTAGCTCAGGTAGTTATATCCTCAACTTTGATTTGTACCTTAACTTTTACAAATAATAATTTTTGATATGACACCTAATTTTTTTTTTTTTTGGGTATCTTAGTATTATCTTAAACAATTAGATACTCAACTACTCGCAATTTTGGGTAAGTTAATAGAATAATAATACTGTTCTTCAACCAAGCGGGTCCAGACAATGACATGAAGTCTCTTTTGCGCAAGAGGCATGGCGCAGGAAGACAGCTGAGGGCATTCGCCAAAGACTCATGTCTAATGTAGTATACTTATAATTTTTTAAAATTCTCTAATTTCTAAAATAGTAGGTGGTAGAAAGAGAGAAATTTGGATTTGTAAATTCCATGTATTGCACGGTTCGGACACTACTTAGCATATATGTGTGCGTGTGTGTCAATCGAAGGAAGAGAGAGAGAACTAATCTGCCCTGCCTCTTATCAATGATAAGAAAAGTGGGTGTTTAATCCTTGACATAAGTTTTTTTGGGGGAGTTATGTGACACAGTTTTGTCCTTACATGATATAATTTTATTTCATTTATAGCGAAAATCAAGTTGCTTTAATCTAACAAAACAAAATGCAAGTCAAATACATACTCATTCATAATTTAGAAAAATAGAAGAATAGTACTGGTCCAACACGGCAGCTCCAGAAGTTGGGCAACTCGAAAGAACAAGGAAGGTCCAGTGTTTTGGATTTATGCAGAAAATTAGGAGTCAATTTTTTGAAGACTAAGTGCACGACTTTGGCCATGTCTTAGTCTCTTCCAAGCATCTATGCTCAAAACCATTTACACCTACCCAAATTGTTCATGAAGTCTCTTTTGCGCAAGAGGCATGGCGCAGGAAGACAGCTGAGGGCATTCGCCAAAGACTCATGTCTAATGTAGTATACTTATAATTTTTTAAAATTCTCTAATTTCTAAAATAGTAGGTGGTAGAAAGAGAGAAATTTGGATTTGTAAATTCCATGTATTGCACGGTTCGGACACTACTTAGCATATATGTGTGCGTGTGTGTCAATCGAAGGAAGAGAGAGAGAACTAATCTGCCCTGCCTCTTATCAATGATAAGAAAAGTGGGTGTTTAATCCTTGACATAAGTTTTTTTGGGGGAGTTATGTGACACAGTTTTGTCCTTACATGATATAATTTTATTTCATTTATAGCGAAAAGCAAGTTGCTTTAATCTAACAAAACAAAATGCAAGTCAAATACATACTCATTCATAATTTAGAAAAATAGAAGAATAGTACTGGTCCAACACGGCAGCTCCAGAAGTTGGGCAACTCGAAAGAACAAGGAAGGTCCAGTGTTTTGGATTTATGCAGAAAATTAGGAGTCAATTTTTTGAAGACTAAGTGCACGACTTTGGCCATGTCTTAGTCTCTTCCAAGCATCTATGCTCAAAACCATTTACACCTACCCAAATTGTTCATGAAGTCTCTTTTGCGCAAGAGGCATGGCGCAGGAAGACAGCTGAGGGCATTCGCCAAAGACTCATGTCTAATGTAGTATACTTATAATTTTTTAAAATTCTCTAATTTCTAAAATAGTAGGTGGTAGAAAGAGAGAAATTTGGATTTGTAAATTCCATGTATTGCACGGTTCGGACACTACTTAGCATATATGTGTGCGTGTGTGTCAATCGAAGGAAGAGAGAGAGAACTAATCTGCCCTGCCTCTTATCAATGATAAGAAAAGTGGGTGTTTAATCCTTGACATAAGTTTTTTTGGGGGAGTTATGTGACACAGTTTTGTCCTTACATGATATAATTTTATTTCATTTATAGCGAAAAGCAAGTTGCTTTAATCTAACAAAACAAAATGCAAGTCAAATACATACTCATTCATAATTTAGAAAAATAGAAGAATAGTACTGGTCCAACACGGCAGCTCCAGAAGTTGGGCAACTCGAAAGAACAAGGAAGGTCCAGTGTTTTGGATTTATGCAGAAAATTAGGAGTCAATTTTTTGAAGACTAAGTGCACGACTTTGGCCATGTCTTAGTCTCTTCCAAGCATCTATGCTCAAAACCATTTACACCTACCCAAATTGTTCATGTTTGATTTTTATCTCAACTACAGGAGGTTTAGATTTTTTTCTTATTAATTTTATTTTACGACACACAAATTGACAAGAAAAATTAATGAGTAGAAGTAGTTCACTATCCAAAAATTATTTGTAAGCATCAAAATTTTGTTTAATTTTTTCATTTAAACATGACTCTACTTCTCTGCCACATTAAAGAGAAAATATACATTACAACGGTGATATCACGTGGCAAGGTGATGTGGTATAACTAGCCAATAATAATAAAACAAATAAACAGATAGATCCTACAAAAATCAATAACTAACCTATTATGTAAACAAATAACTTCTCACTCTTCTGTCATATAAGTTCAAATGGGGTTCACCTTTATCATTTGGAGTTTTATTATTTCCTGCAAATAATTCTCAATGGTCTCTATATATGAAGGACACTAATGGGTGGATTTCCCAGTCTACACCTCAGAATACAAAAAAAAAATGGAGTGTAGAAAGTTTGATCTCAAACTTATATCAGCTACTAATCTGAGAGACGTACGTAAGATATTTAGGATGAAGGTTTATGCAGTGGTTACTATTGCAGGCAAAGCAAAAACAGAGAGACGAACTCCGGTAGATAAGGAAGGCGAGACCAATCCTACTTGGAACTTCACGTTGCAATACATGATCGGTGAGTTGGCTGTGCAAAACGAAGGGATTGAGGTGGTGATCACCTTATACTGCAAGTGAACCCTAGGGGATCGATATATAGGAGAGGTGCGTACATCCATTAAACAACTCTATGAGCAGCATCCAAATGTCAATGGAGGAGGCGCTAATATATTGACACGTCAAGTGCAAAGTAGCAGTGGAATTTCTCAGGGAGAGCTGAAATTTTCATTTGGTTTTGGAGAGACAGTTATCATCAAACGACCCTCAAAGTGGAGGAAAATGTTAAAGGCTGGAACAGTGGTTTTACTAAACTTGATTTCAGCAGTCCTTGGCCAAGGTAATGCAATACCATTGTTTATGGATGCTGGTAGCGGTGTAGATTTTATGTGAGAAAATTGAGCACTCCATAATTCAGGGTGGTCCAATCTACAAGAGGCCAAACCAAATCCAGTTTTATTTCATCTACATGTTTTTCTGGTGCAACTCCAAAATTCTCTCTTCACGGGATAGAACAGATGATTGAGAAGGCGCTCCCTGTACCAGAGTTTGTGTGTTAGCTCTGCTAACACGTACAACCAAGTCTAAAGATCTCTCTCTCTCTCTCTCTTGGGAAGTAGACTTATTTTAAGAGATTTATCGTATAGTTAAAGTGTCTTACTAAGGTATGTTAGTAGTCTGGTGGGTG